CTGCCTATGTGTGCCTGTCTGTGTGTGGCTGCCTATGTGTGCCTGTCTGTGTGTGCCTGTCTGTGTGTGCCTGCCTATGTGTGCCTGTCTGTGTGTGCCTGCCTATGTGTGCCTGTCTGTGTGTGGCTGCCTATGTGTGCCTGTCTGTGTGTGCCTGTGTGTGTTTGCCTGCCTATGTGTGCCTGTCTGTGTGTGCCTGTCTGTGTGTGCCCGCCTGTGTGTGCTCACCTGTGTGTGCCTCCAGAGGAAGAAACACTACTCAGAAAGCCCGTGTATGTCAGGGCTTAACAATGCTCTTTATCAAAAGTTATTTACTTTTAGATCCCAGCATTCCTAACCCCAGTCCTATTCCCTACACCCTGAGTTCTGAGAGACTCGATTCCTAATCCCAAAAGAAGCTACTGCAGTACTGTGCAGTCCCTGGCCCTGGCCCACCTGTTCCTGGCCGCAGCTCCACAGTGCAGTAGCCCTCAATCCACTGATAGCTGGGAAAGTGAGTCACTGTGCCATCTGGGGCAGTGACGCTGATGTGACTGCAGTACCAGGGGTCCTTGCGGAAGAAAGCAAAGCGCTCCTTGTGTAAGCGCAGCAGCAGGATCTCACCCAGTTCTGCGCAGCGCACCTTGTACTTCTGAACCTGGAGTGATGGAGGCGCAAGCAAGACAGTGAGAGGAGGGACTGCCGCGGCATCTTTGCACTAGGAAAGGTGCATTAGAACCTCCACTTATTCTGGCAGATAAGCCTGAGCACTTGTTGATCCATGCGGCTCCTTTGCGTGAATGAGAAAAAGCCTGTCTTCATATAGAAAAAGGCACCACACAGTGCCTGTGCGGCGTTTTGCTAGCATTCCTAGCCTCCTTGTCCAATAGGGCACTTTTATGTAGGGCAAACTCTCCTAGCGGCTGAAAAGGGGGAAGCAGACCCCTTCCAGAGAACAGGAAATCCATGGTCAAAGTGAGGAAGCTATTTGGCAAAATTCTAGGGTCACTAATGGGAGGAGCCGGGCCAAGCAGTGGTGATGCACGCCTTTAAGCCCAGCGCTGAAGAGGCAGAACCAGGCAGTTCTCTGAGTTCGAGGCCAGCCTGGTTGGTCTACAGAGTGAGCGTCAGGACAGCCTAGGTTGTGCAGAGAAATCCTGTCTGGAAAAACCACTAACAACAACAACAACAATAAATTGGAGGAGGTGTCAGGAAGCCAGGGAAAGTTCTCAGAGCCGCTTGTAAGTGCTCCTCTCCACAGTCCTGTCTCATCATTCAAAAGGCAGGAACCACAAACGAAATGGTGATAAATCTCCACAGTCCTGTCTCATCATTCAAAAGGCAGGAACCACAAACGAAATGGTGATAAAGTTATGGTCATCATCCCGTGTTCAGCAAGACTTGAGGAATCCAACCAGAGTAATCCTTAGCCCTGTCAGGTTCCCCGTGAGTGAGGTCTGTTCCTTAGAGGTCCCCAGTCTCTCCTGTGTACTCACCGATCCAGAGGCAAAGTCCCTGCCCACACGATCCAGCCTCTGCTTGGGGCTCTCACCACAGGTGCCCACCAAAGTAGCATAGATGTTGTCCAGTGTGCCAGCCTTCAGGTAGGAACCAGTGGTTACGCACAGGCGGTAAACTGCCATGCTGGGACCCGATAACCCGAAAACAGTAGCTGGCCCAGAGAAGGTGAGCTACAATACAGGCAGAGCAGGGTCGTCTCCTGGGGTTGGGGGAGGGTGAGCCTGGAGAAGGGCCCAGCTCTGAGATGTTCCTGGGCTCGCGCTCTCTCTCTCTCTCTCTTTCTCACCGGAGCTTCACTGGTAGCTCAGGAGTACTCTCCCCGCCCACAGTCTGGCACCCTAATACTTGTTTGCTTGCCTCTGACACAGCCGGTCCCTCTGGCTGGCTCATCCAGATGGATATCAGGAGACTAGGTCCATCGAGGAGGGAGGGAAGAAGGGAGGAGGAACCAAATGCTGAGAGGGAGACAGGGAGGAGGTGACGCGTGTGTGACTGGGACACTACCCTCTGCCTGATCAGAGGCTTGACTAACCTCCTGAGACCCATGTTCACCCTCTCCCCTGTTTCCACCCAGACCCTTCTCCTCCTATTTCCAAACCAGAAACGGGCACGAGAGCACCAGAATTCCTACATGTGAATCACACCGTACGTCAGAAAACTGCACCAACCCATAAGTCACACGTGACTTCAGCAACAACCAAGTAAACAGGACGCTCCTCTCAGTACGCGGCAGGTGGTCATGGTCCCCATCCTGCCACCCAAACACCCGTTTCTTCCTCAAGCCTAGTCCCCTCTCTGTCCCCAGGTTATGGTATTTCCGATCTCTGTGGCGCCGGTGGAACAAGGCCAGCCTAGTGAATGGAGGCCTGCCGGGCCGCATCTGGAGGGCCCGTGTGACATTCTTTACGCTCCAAGCCCTCCCTCAGCCTGCCTGCGGACCGTGGGAGGCAACCACGAGCCCTAGGAGCCGGGATCTAGGTCACAAGGGCGAGGGACGGAAGGTAGGCTGGACCAGAGCAACCCGTAGCCCGCAGCGGCCCCGCGTGGCCGGTCTAGGCGCCTCGGGATTCCAGCCTGCGCGGTCCCGCCCTGGCTACCGTCTTAAAGAGACCCGTGAGGCGCCGGCATAAGCAGGTGAGCGGCCTCAAGTCAGGATCCTAGACAGGAAAATACAGCCTTTATCATCTAGGTGAATGTAGACGGCAGATGTACCTGAAAATACTCTTTTAGAAAAGAGTGCAGAACTAAGGCAAGGGCCCGGATAGCTCAGTCGGTAGAGCATCAGACTTTTAATCTGAGGGTCCAGGGTTCAAGTCCCTGTTCGGGCGCTTGGCTCTTTTTGTAAAACTCTACCCACAAATTGCTGCTGTCAGGTTGTTTTACGAGAGCGATGTGGTAATAAAATAATTCTTTTAAAAGGAGATGTAGATTTGCGAATTGGGAACAAAATGCCGATGAGTGATGATAAAGGGGAAGAGCAGTGTCTGTGTAAACCACGAGTATGAAATTAATTTTCCTAAAAGCCGCAAGAAGAGTAAAAAGGAATTGACGAAATTGCTTTTAATAATATATTTCAATTAATACAGTATTTGAAAATCTTACTTTAACTTGAAGTTGGTATTTTAAAATAAGCAATTTTAACTTAATTTTTGAACTTCTTTTGTAATCTTCAGGTTTAGAAGAAGCATTCATATGTCGGGTTATAACCACATCCAGCAGTTGACTTTTTCATGCCATTGCTTTGTTTCGTTGTGGTAAATGATAAAAATGGAATGATACGCAAAACAGAATGTAGAATAATGTATGTAATATCCGAAGATGAGAACTTGAAGGGGGTTCCATGGTGTAATGGTTAGCACTCTGGACTCTGAATCCAGCGATCCGAGTTCAAATCTCGGTGGAACCTTAGCTTTTTTTTTTTTTTGTAATCAACTTAATAACTTTGAAATTTATCTGTTTTTTATATTGAGTAGTTTAACTCTGTATTACCGACCATCAAGTAGAACTTATAGAAAATAATTTACGTACAGTGGGATCTGCGCTGGACTTGAATATACAATACAAAATACAATACAATACACTATATTTACAGGCATGTTTACAATGGAGATAGGTTATAAACAGGTCACTTCTAAGGTTGCTTACACATCTTGTGTATGAATACGAAATGGGTCTAGCGCTCTGTTGGCAAGCCAAAGGTAAAAAGCTAATGCTGAAACACTAGCCAAGCAATGGTTGTCATAAAATTTAATATTAGACGCCTTAATAATAACAGCAGAGGCTTAATAACTAATTAATTAACATAACAGCGTCTACTTCTGTAGTACAAGCCAGAGCGCCTCTGGAGAAAAACTCTGATGTGGCAGCGGTGGGATTCGAACCCACGCCTCCGAAGAGACTGGAGCCTAAATCCAGCGCCTTAGACCGCTCGGCCACGCTACCCGCACGACGACTGCGATTTCCCGTCGTCTTCCTAAGAGAGTAGGACAGCTGTGCAAGCCTCACAACCGGGAACCCGACGCGAAACTCCTTTGTTGTGTATTTCAAACTCGGGATGAGGAACCACAGGGACCCCAAACGACTTAGTAAAGAGGCTAAACAAACGAACCAGGAGACACAGAGACTTACTACAAAGCACGTTTATTGAGTGGGATCAAGCCTGGGAACCGCGCAAGTCTGCGCTCGGTAGCGCAAGGAGCAACCTGAGCTGTGCCCTGCTGGCGAGCTCACATCCCGTGACTGTCCCTCCGTGCTCCTTGCACCTGCGTCCACCCTCATGCCCGCCTGGCTCACGCGGGGGCTACAACTCATCCCGCCGGCCTCCGAGCCCTTCGCCTCCAGCTCCTACGACGCTCGGCCCAATTTTTGTGCACACTCTCCCGCGCTACCCTTGTTCTCTATGCTAGTCTCCGTATGCTGGGAGAAGGCGCCGCCCGCCAGGTGGCTCTGTGGCGCAATGGATAGCGCATTGGACTTCTAGTGACGAAAAAGCAATTCAAAGGTTGTGGGTTCGAATCCCACCAGAGTCGGTTTTATTTATCTTCTCTTGGCTTTCGTTAAAAAACTAAACACCCACTTTATTTTCAAGTTCAGTCTCAACCTCCGTCGGTCGTACGGCTCCTTACTTACCTGTCTGCCCCAGGGCTTGGGCCGTGGAGAGCAGGCCTAAAGGTGGGAGAAGGGTAGGGGCGTGTCGGCGACATAGAGGCAGGCCCCTGGCTAGGGGACACACCGGGATTTAATAACCATTTTATTCCATGCACTAGGGACTCGGGAAGGGACTGGGCCGGGGTAGAGAGGGTACAATCCTACACACAGGGTAGCGGGGCAGGGAAAAGGGACAGGAAAATATATATTTATATAGATACTCTAATATAAACCACATCTCACCCGCGCGCTGAGCCCGCGCGCCCCGCTGCCCTCCTCGCCCGGATCCCTCTCCTGCCCTCTGGCTGGAGTCTCTACCCCACCTCCAACCCCCGCCCCAGCCCCCCCAAAGCTCAGGGCCAAGGTCTCCAAAAGGCGGGCGGTGGGAGTGGCGGGGCCTTGGGCGCCCCGTCTTGTCTGTAAGGCGGCGGAGGCGGCGGCAGCAGTCCGGTGAGGGGCGCCGGCGCGCCGGAATCCCGGGCGCGAGGGGAGCAGTGGGATGGGGACCAAGCGCAGCGGGGACTAGGGGCGCCCTGGTGCACTTGGGGGCGCTGGTGCAGCGCGGGGCCAAGGATGGGTGCAGCAGGGTCCAGCGGTGGGCGCGGCGCTGGGAGCCCTGGATCTACGGCCTCTGGCCTGGGCGGTTTGGGACGCCGGTAGCCGTGCAGCGCGGAGAAAAGCTGGGAGCGGGCGGCCGGGCTGGCGTCGTGCGCAAAGGCCGCCAAGCGAAGCAGGCACTCGCGGAAACCGGACAAGTAGCAGCTGGCGAGCGCCTCGGCGTCCTGGCCTGGGGACCGGGGAGCCCCTGGTGCAGCCGGCGGGAGGACAGGCGGGCAGGGGAGGGGCCCAATGGGGGTGAGGGAAGGGGCGGGGCGCAGAGATCCCGAGGTCAGACGGGCGCACAGACAGAGACGGGAGATCAGATGGACGTGTAGAGGAGGGGAACGAGAGAGACACAGAGACAGACACGCGCAGGTGTCATTAACCTCGCCTCGGAGCACGGCCGGCCGCTCCCCCAAGCCTCCGTCCCCCGCGGAGCCCGCCCCTTCCCCAGCCCGAGCCTTCCTGGCTCGCACCCACCCTCCCGCCCTCCGCTGCCCCAACTCCCGCGCTGTACCCGGGGGCTCCACCCGGCTTCGCTCCCTCAAGTAGCCCACGGCGAACTCCAGAATCTCCGCTTTCTCCAGCTTCGGGTTCCGGAGGTTCTACAGACGGAGGGAGGCGGGGCGCAGAGACAGAAAGGGGTGGGGAGAGAGGGGGAAAGTGGCTGGGGGAAGAAGGGAGGGGCGGATACGGGAGCTGCGGGTGCCCCCATGACTCGCAACCGAATGTGGAGGTGACCAACAAAGGTCCCTGTCCCACCCTGAGACGAGACTGTCCAACCTGAGGGAGTGGAACCATTTCCCAACTTGTGAGGAGTGTGTAGGAAACAGCAACCCGGATGGTGAAAACCACCGCAGAACTGAAGCTGGCTGCTCCGGGGGCAGGAGGTAGATGAGGACATTTAGAAACCCAAAGAGGGAAACTGAGGCACGCTGGAAGCTCAGTTTACAGAGCCAGACAGAAAGCTTACAGACCCACAAGGTGGCGAAGATCGAATTCTGAGAGCGAGAGGGGGTGTGGGATGGGATTTCAAAGGCTAGGCTTGGGTCGGGACGCCTTAGAACCAGGGTCACCACTCCAGCTTATGTCCCCATCCCAGTGGAAAGCCCTGGGACACACTAAAGGGCCTGGGGTCGGCGGTGGAACTGACCTGGTCCCTGGTCCTCTCCAACAGTAGAAGCCGCAGCTCTTCCAGGCTGCGGTTGATGCGGTCCCGGCGCCGCTTCTCCACCAACGGCTTCAGCATCTGTGACCAGCGGGAAAAGGAGAGCGGACCGACCGGACCGAGACTCAGCGCCGCCACGCGAGCGTCCGATCCTGCCGCTGGGAAAGCCCCAGGCGTCCCTTTCCCCTCAACCCCTGATTGCCTAGGGCTGGTCCATTCGTCCACTCTCACTGCCTCTTTCCCAGCGCCCCAGGGTTGGTGAATTTCAGTGGCTCGTCCCCTCTTCTCCCCGCTCCCTGCCCCTTCTGAGTTCTGCTTCCTCCTCTTGTCTCCCGTCTGCGACTCTCTCTTCTCTCTACATCTCTGTCTTGCGTGGTCTCTGCGTATTAGCGAAGAACTTTGGAGACGTTCTTTGCCCCACCCTCACGGTACGGATCAGAGTTAGTAGCCCAGAGTGGAAGGGAGACACAGAGCACGATCACACCTCCTGGAGGCAGTCGCCTAGAAGTCGCCACTGGTTCTCCTAAAATCTCTCACCCGGCCTCGCACTTCTGGAACCCAAGTCTTCTCTGTAAGTCAGATGGGGTTCACAACCGCTTACTGACGGAGAGCGTCCACATCCTCTCCTCCTTTTGTCCCCGCCCAGCTCCACGGGCTCAGTCCTCTAACTTATGTTGTTCTGTTTCTTTTGCTTGCTATGTGTTTGTAGGGCTCACTCCATGGCCTCGAATTTGCGGTAATCCACCTGCCTCAGCTTCCCGCCCCCACCCCAGCGCTAGGATAGACTACGGTGCCCAAATTCTGGCACTCTCAGGAGCTCTCCAGGCCACAAGCCACAGCCATAAACCCCTAGACCTCGGCTTCGGCCAACCACGCAAATTCGGCTCTGACCCTGTCCTCTTCATACAGGTTCTTTGGGTATCAAGAGCATCTCTGTCCTTCCAGTCAGTCCTGTGTCTCCATCCTCACCCCTAACCCACAATGTTAGGACCTTTAAGTCCTCTGGCGGGAAAAGGGGGTCCTTGCTCCCACCCTTCCCACCTCTCACCTTGGGGCCGTCCCTATTCTCAGCTCGATCCCGAGTGACCATTGCGCCTCCGGACCCTGTGGTGGACGCAACGCGTGGTCCTTAGATCTTTATATCCTGCCTCAGCAGGGTAGGAGGGATAGGACCCGGACCCGCCCCCTTCTGCTCCAGGATGCCTAGGGCCAAGACCCCGGCACGAGGCTCCCGGAAAGGCGGGGACTAGAGGGGGAGGGGAAGGAGAGGAACTGGCCCCAAGTGTGGGAGCAAGGGAAGGAAGGGGTTTAAGGACCTTAAGGGGCTGTATAAAAAGGCGGGACTCAACTGAAGGGAGGGGAATATTAGGGGGAGTTTAAATGAATTGGGACACAACTCGCTTAGACATGAAATTTGGGGATCTAGAAGAGTAGATTTCTTGGAGGTTCACTATAGCCTCACCAACACTGAAATAAATTTTAGCGCTCTTCAGCCTTGGGCAGGAGCAACCCCTAGAGGCGCAGAGCAGGTCAGTCTGCGGGATTCTATTGGCTAGCTGTGGGAACGCTCACCGGGTACCTTCTCTTCTACTCAGTTCCCACAGTCACTCCGCTGCTTAGCCCTGCAGACCTAGTGAACGCAGGATCTGCCATCAAGCGGCTATTACTGAAGCGTGTGCCCCGAGAACAGGTTTCCTTGAGGATGGCTGAACTAAGCGTGGGGGGGGGGGCAAAGGAAGCTTCTAGAAAAAGCAAGTATAAAGTCCTTTTAAAGTATAAGTAGGAGTGAAGAATCTTTCCATTTGCAAGTATTTGGTTTAAAACTAAATTCAGGAGTATGGCTAACGGGGAAAACCTCACCACAAGCACACCGGAGTTACTTGCCTCTGGAGGCGTCTAGTGACTGTAGGGGAGCAGGAAAATGTGAGATTTGCAAAAGTAACAAGAAAGGGTTGGTTACAAAAAGGGATCCGCACCCACCTCAAACCAAGAGCATGACCCTCGACGGAAGAATGTGTCAACACTTAGAGACTTCAGGACGAAGTGCCTAAGGAGGTAAAACCGAAATTTAGCATGACAAGAACACCTGGGGAAAGGACACCATAAAGACAGGGGCTACAAACCCTACAAACTGGGCCAGAAGGTAGTTGTGGAGTCAGAGACAACTTCCAGAGGCCCTCCCCATCCTGAGCGGTTTTTCTGGCAGAGGCTGCCTTGCCAAACGCAGAGCAGGCGGGGCCCAGACTTAAGGAGGGGGCTCCCATTTGGGATTAGGGCCCCCAGTACATCCCACCTTCCCTACTTCAGCCAAATGGGAGCACAGATGTGTGGCCACAGCAGGCCCCGCCGCCCCCCTCCTTGGGAACCAGGATTGGGGTTGAGTTTTTCTCACCTGCACGTGAGGCTCGAGGGCCGGGGCAGTTTGCACCCGGGTGTGGGGCCGCCCCTGGCCATATGGAGTGACTTTATGGCCCGGTGGCCGGATCCAAGGAAAAGAAAGAATGGCCCGGCGCTCCACCCACCTTAACTATCCTTCACAAACCCTTTCCACACAGACTTGAGCATGGCTAGCTCCGCCTCGGACAACTTTAGATACATTGATTACAAAGGTTTCCCCCTGTCTGCATTGGTGGTTCAGTGGTAGAATTCTCGCCTGCCACGCGGGAGGCCCGGGTTCGATTCCCGGCCAATGCACAAGTGACGGTTTTATTTTTTTTTTTTCTTTCGAATCAGGAGAAAATTAAATTAATGAGGCTCCAGTTCAAGCAAGCGACTTTTCTTAAACATTTCAACCAAAAGTGAACTGTAGTGTTTTGTTTCCGCGGCCGCCCTGGAAGCTCCGGAACTGGTCACTGACTCGGCAGATCCTCATACCTCTCTCCCACCTCTAGCCAGGGAGGTTCTGGCTGCCCGACACACACACCCCAGTCCTACCCTCCGCAACCCAGAGAAAGGACACGCAGCTGGGATCCCTGCCCGGGGTCCTCTCCGCCCACGGCGGGGGAGGACCGGGTCTTCCTGATCTTTCTTTCCCTCTCCTCTCTCTCCCTCGCATTTTCTGCTCTGAAGCGCCTTTTCCCCAGGTCCAAGGACCTGGGCATGTCAGCCTTCTGGTCTTTCGGATCTGAGTGCTTCTCAGCGACTCCATCTCGCTCTGATTTTTTTTTTTTTTTTTTTTTTTTTTAAGGCCTCAAGGCTGGGGTTCTCAGGGTCTAGGGTGGTCTCTTCGGCCTCTGAGTCTTGCGTCCCTCTGCTGCTCCCTCTCTGTACCTCTCCCGGCTGCCTAGTCTTGTTTCCTGGTCCCTGTCGCCAGCGGGGACCCTGCGCTCCCACGCTCTCACCCCCGGTTCCCCGCAGCTCCCGGGCCCGCCCCTGGCCGGCAGCTTTGATCCCGCACGCGCCGCGCCCGGGGAGGGCGGGACCCTGCACGGCCACCTGCCGAAGCCGCTTGTGAGCAACCCGGGGGCCCTGACGCCCCGCGCTCCCTTTCCGCTCCCCTCCTGAGCGCGCCGCTGCCCTCCGCGCCCCTCCTCCCGGCCTTTTCAGGTTCTCACAGTCTGAATTCCGGTTTAAGCCTTCCTCTCCTGTCTCTTTCAGCCTGGTGTGTCTCATCTTGGACTGTGTCAGTGACAACACTCCCTTCTCAGTTCCAAGCTGGGGCCGTGGTCCTAGGAGAAAAGTAAACGATCTTGTCATCACTGCTAGCCCAAGTGGTACATTTGCCCGCTCAATCGTAGATCTGTGTGTGCCTGCTGTGTGCCCACTATCGTAAGGATTTGGGGGTACATTGGCCCTGAGCTCTCCCGAAACGTGCATTATTGGAGGTGTGGGGGACAGGAAACAACCAAGAAGGCAGAAAATAGACTAGGGTAATTTCCCGTGGTTGTAAGGAAAAGTGCAGCCACGTGACAGTGAAGTGCTTTCTAGTTTAGTCGGAGTGGCCAGAGGCAGCCCCACGGCGGTGATAATACCTCAACGTGGTCACCCACGAGTCCCAGCCCTCCTGTTGAAAAGAGATGTGTTGGAGAGCTAAAGAAAGAACCTAGAACAGAGAACTGGGGAATGGAGGATGTAAATTGGGATACAAGATAACAGAGCCCATTTCACAGGATTTTAGAAGCCTTAGAGGGTCTTGGGGATTGAGTGCAATGGAGAATTCAAGGCCAGCTTTGGCAACAAGATCACTTTTGAGGTGACATCATAGCTTGAGCAAATGTTCTTTTAAGAAAGTGTAGCCCCCACTTTCCTATGCCATACCCTGCATCTTCCCACCTCTCGATGGGAAAGGGGTCTTCCCTGCTTCTGAGGCCCATTCTCCACCTCCTCCACACGCTGGCATCAACCCACCCATCTCCGACCCCACCCCAGATTCCCATTATTCCCATGGGCATCAGAAGTGCTACAGGCCATTTGATGATTTTGAAGAGTAGAAAAATAAACCTATGGGTTTAAGAAAATAGGTTTTCTCAGCCTGCTGAAGGCCTGTCTGAGAATTTCAAGTGCATAAGCTGCTTCACCATGATGCTCACAAAATTGAGGAACCCAAAAATAGAATCTAGGGAAAGTTCCAGCAAGGTGTTCACCGGGCCATAGCATTCTGTAAATTTCACATACACATGAAGAAAAATAATACACAAAATATTAAGGCAGTCTGTGGAGAATATTGTGCAGGTCTACCAGGAGTCAAGGTGCTTTCCCGGCATCTGTCAGTGTTCTGCTTGTTAAGTATTAGTTATGGTTTAATCATCATTGTAATTATTTTTAAGACAGGGTCTTGCTTTCCTCGCTGTGTTTTATTTCACTGGCAGCTTATCAGATTTCCCCCCTAGTATTAAAATAGGATTGAACCCAGAGTTTCATCCTCTGTCTGCTTTTTAAATATGTAAATTGCTACATTCTTGCATTGTTCTAAATATTATTTCTTATACCTCATTTATGCACTATGGGTAGGGGTGGCCCACACCTTTAATCCCAGCACTTGGGAAGAGGCAGGCGCTTCTCTGTGAGTTCAAAACCAGCCTGGTCTACAAGAGCTAGTTCCAGAACAGGCCAAAGCTACAGAGAAACTCTGTAGAGGGAGGGAGGGGACACACGACACACAACAACAACAACATAAAGTTACCTTCCAGTGAGACTAGTTGAATGAACTGAGTAATTTGACTCCAACCCCTTGCTCTGGTGCAGGTGTGGCCTGTGATGTGGCCTGTGTAGATGTCCCTAGTGTACCTTTGTTGTGTGTGTGGGGGGGGAATCTCTATGAAGATCATAAGCCTCTGTTTCAGAAAGAGCCTGTGTCCAGGAATGTCGTGGTTGAGCTTGTGTCCAGGCATGTCATAGTTGTGTCCTATCAGCACATGTACAGGTATCTATGTCTCACTGCACCCTCCCTATGGCTGAGGTTCAGAGGAGGGCAGTGCGTGGCCACACGTTGGGCCCCGAAGGATGCAGACAAAGACTGGTACAGTTGGTGCTGTGCTTAACTTCCTGTCCCCCACTGTGACATCTCCCCAGGCCTGGGTTCCCAGCCTCTTGTCCTTGCCCTTTTGCCCTTCAGAGGGAAAGTGTGCTTGTTAGGATGTCCTGAGTCCTGAGTAGCAGAGTCCAAGCCAAAGCAGAAACACAGGGGAGAGTTCTAGGCTCCTAAAGCAAACCCCTGTGGTCCAGATTCCTGGCGTCTTGTTCTGTGATTCAAAACTAAACGGGAATCACAGACCCAGATAAAATAGAAAAGAGCGCTTTTCTTCCTTTCTTTTCTTTTTTGTTGTCTGTTTCAACAGGAAAGAATATCATAAACTTTAAAGACCCCAGCTATAAAAGGTGAACCCCACCTGCCATTTCTTCAGGCCTCAGCACGTTTATCCTACCTGCTCTGTTCTGGCCCCACACAGACAGTTCCAAACATAGTCAGCTCTGTCCTTACCCAGTTCTGTTCTTGCAAGGTAGTGGGGGGGGGGGGGAGGGCAATATGTACCCTGGAGAAAAAGCGGAGAAAGGGAGGAGAGGGTGAGAACTGTGATTCTGCAAAGTCTCATCCTGGAAAGATGGAGTGCCAGGACATGACGGCCCCCATAACTACTTTCCTAGCGCTTGAGGCAGGAGAATCAGAAATTCAAGGTCTTCCCCAACTACAGGAGATGCTTGGGATCAACGCCCTTTCACGTGAGCTCTGTCCCTGGCCCTGCAACCATTGTCAGCCTCAGTCATCCTTGACTGAGCCACTGATATGTGATAGATGGCAGGGAAGAGACAAGTCTGGATTAGGACGTAATAGTGAATTCGGGGATCCTTAGCTAAGCCTTGCATATTAGAAAAAGAAACTGCTGGCTGATCAATATTGAATGTTAGAAAAAGAAGACCCAAGGGGAATCCTAAGGGTCTTAAGTGTAATCAACTAGAGAAATAGAATTCTCATTGACCAAATTGAGAAGACCACAGATGAAGCAGCTGTAGGGAACAGTGTATCCCTGCTAGACAGCCAAGAGAAGATGAGGAAAGGCATATAAGCATTTGGGGAACATTCGCAGACCTGGAGGTGGAAACAAGAGGCCACGTAAAGTATTATCTGGCATTTAAAGGTACTAGACCAGAAATTCTCCTAACATGGCCAAAGTATCTCAGGCACCCTTGCTGTGTTCTGCAGTTGACTTCCTTCTGTAGATGGAGATGTTTCTCAATGTCATCGTTGCGCAGCCTCTCTCTTTGTGTGACGCCTAGACTCCTCCTGAGACATGCCATCTCAAACACATTCAGCCGCTGTTCTGGGGAGAGTTTCATTGTCCAGGTTTCAGAGTTGTAAAGAAGGCAGCTCAAGACAAGTGTCTCACATACTTATAATTTTGTTGTCATTATGTCTCCTGCTGACCGAACCTTCCCTAGTGCCTGGAATGCAGCCCTTGGTATCCCTATCTGCCTCTTGACGTCGGAAATAGTTCCCTCCTTTGAACTGAAGATAGCACTCCTTGGAGGAGCGTGTGGGATAAAGTGAAGAGGAAGACCCAAAAGACAGTGGATAGACAGCATAAAGGAAGACTGTGTAACCTTGTGCATGACAATAACACAAGCATCTAGGAGCGCTCAGAATAGGAACAACTGGAGAACTGCCATAAACGGGCAGCCCATGCATGCTTAAGCATTGCCAGGACATTGATGATGATGATGATGATGATGATGATGATGATGATGATGATATCAGAGATGCCTCAGCAGAAAGCACAGAGAGGAGAGGCCACTGGAAGACTGAGCCTTGGACTCCCCTAACACTTAAGATCCAGAAAGGGAGTCTGTGAACAAGCTGCTAATGGAGCAGAAGGGACATCAGAAGGGTGTTGGAGGCTGGGAGGCGAGTGGAGAGGCTCTAAGGGCAAGCATCCGGCTCTTGTCCATTTAGGAATGTAATGGCTATCTGTAACCTTAACAAAAGGAAGCTATGATGGTGAGAAGGGTGTACACATGGTTGGAGGGGATTCAAAGGAGCACTGGAAGGTACAAACAGTGAGATCACTTATTGTTACACAGAGTCACAAGGAATGAAATGGTAACTGGAGGACAGCATAGGGTCCAGACAGTGTCTTACTGGTTTTTGACCTTTCCCCGAGTTGACTTAGACCACTATAGTCTGGGCAATCAGAAAAGAATAGAGGTCTGTCTAGCTCAGTAGTCTGGAAGCTGGGAAGCGCGAGAACACGGAGCCAGCATGTCTAGTGAGGGCTTTCTTGTTGACAGAGGGAATCATACGATGTGACGGAACAAGTAAACTTGTTGGAGTCGTTTCTTAGAAAGCTGTAGTCGGCTGGGCGGTGGTGGCGCACGCCTTTAATCCCAGCACTCGGGAGGCAGAGGCAGGCGGATCTCTGTGAGTTCGAGACCAGCCTGGTCTACAAGAGCTAGTTCCAGGAAAGGCTCCAAAGCTACAGAGAAACCCTGTCTCGAAAAAACTAAAAAAAAAAAAAAAAAAGAAAGCTGTAGTCGGCGCAGGGGCTCTACTCATATGATATCCTCTAGTTTAAATAATGTCCTTAAGACCCTACCTTCCATCAAATTACACATCTGGGGATTAAGTTGCCAACACAAGGACTTTTCAAGGACACACAGCAGATATTTTTGTTCTTGTGGACGGAATCACCACGTCTGGAAGCTGATGGGAGCAATACATTCGAAAGGGAAATTTTGATGGCATGGAAAACAGAGCAACGAGGGTCAGAGGGATGGAAAATCTAGATGTGGAGGTTGGCCATACTTCAGTGGAAGCGTTCTGTATTCGTCAGGGAGAGGAGGCAGGGTGGCGGTTAGGGCATGCAGCTGTAGCTGTCCATGGGAAACTGTCTTCCCAGTGAGTCAGAAAACAGAGCCTCAGCTCTGCACAAAGAACTGTAGACATACCGATTGAGAAAGCTCGACGAGGTTCTAGTGGCTCATGGTTTTTTCCTCATGAGTTCTGTGCAAGTGCTGTTGGGTTTCACGGGTGGGCCCCAGGTGTTTCCAAGGTAGGTCACACCTGAGGGGAATTAGGATCCGCTGGGATCTGGTGCGCACAGTGAAATATTTTTAATAAAAAAAAAAAAAAAAAGAACTGTAGACAACCAAGAAAAGCTGGGAGGGGAGAGAAGGCCCAC